GAATGTTTGTTTTTTGGTTTTACCTCTTGCCACAGCAGGAGGTCGACTCTGATAATTGAAATCCTGCATAGGAAACTGCCGTAGCTTTTGCCTGAAGTGTGCCTCTCGTGTTGTCTCTTGATCTCAGCGTGCGGTAGGCAATATAAAGTGGACTTACTTACCTTGGGAAGCACTATCAGTGTGCACTGTGTAGTATATAGTGGACTTGCGTACTTTGGGAAACAGTATCTTTTGGCGTGAGGAAAGTACCAATGTTTCCTACGTGTTGATCTCGAGGCGGTGAAGTACAAGACCACACTGCAACAGTTTTTCTACAGATTCTCTGCACGCAAATAAAAAGACGAATATTTGTAACTCTAAAGAATCAAATTTCTCTTTCTTGACGTCTAATGACTCGTGACACAACTCGGCGAAATTGTTAGCCCAGAAAATTTGCACTGCGTCTCCTCGGGCCATCTCTGTCGTTAAGGTCCTGTTGTTTTCTTTCAGGCAGTCATCTCTATTCAAAAGTATTTGTTGGGTTTCATATTGTTTTTGGTGGTGATGATGAATGGCTCCTTTCAGCCCTACTGGCCCTCAGCAAGTGCATCCAGATCACACGCTTGACTTGCATCCACACGCTGCTGGAGCGCGTATTTTGCATGCCGGCCGGTCCTCTTGTTTAGGCCGAAGATTGGGAGGGGTTTGTGCAGTCTACCTGGACATTTTGCACGTCCTCACCTACGACGCGCCTTGTGCAACGAGATGGTGTCACTGCGATGACAAAGCATAGCGAGGACTTTCCAGACATTATCAGCCGTCAATCCGAGCGGGTTCTTTCAGTCCTTCGGAGGGCGATTTAGAGGTGCGGGAGAGGAGGCTATGTCGAAGTCAAAGATTGGAAGAAGTTTTCTCAGTCCGTTGGCTGCTCTGCGCTTTTCGTTTTCTGCTGTCGATCAGCGTCCCCTCCCCCATTGCGATCTGAGCCGACTTCATAATCGACGGCTAATTACTCCTAACCGCATGCGCATAGGATGACCGCATAATTATCGGGTGCCTGTACTGGCGTGTACGGCTGTGTTATGTGTCAGTCCAGTGTGTGTTTGTACGCTGCGGTTGGCTGCAGGACCAGGCTGCAATGGC